CTCCACTATGACTCAGGCGGAATTAGTGTCAGGGCCTGATGAAATTTGCAATGTGATCAAAGACGTTGTCGAACTTGGTAGACAAATAAATTTAGAAGTGGATAGTGATGATGTTCAAGAGCTGTTGGATTCACACAATGAGGAGCTTACAATTGATGAGCTCATAACAATGCGTGAACAAGAGGAAGAAATTGATAATCATGATTCTTTGGATCCAGTTCAATTAGAAGATCAAATGACAGTTGGAAACTTGACAGAAGCCCTCAGTTCGATTGAAAAAGGGTTAACAATTTTGGAAAGCATAGACTCCAATGAAGAGCGCAGTTTTGTTACAAAACATGGAATAAAAAAATTACTAGGATGCTACGAGGAGATATTACGGGAGAAGAAAAAATCATTGACTCGTCAGACGACTTTGTTACAATTTATGAAACCTTCTACATCAAAATAACTTCGGATTGTGTTTATACACTCTATTATATAGTTTGTATATTGTATTGTCATATTATTTAGAATTAGATACTAATTATTTCCTAAATTATTGTTTTATTTAGTCTCCAGTCCCAATTAAACATACTTTGTATGTCTTTATATGCAAAATTGTACCCCGACTTACGCGAATTCGACTTACGCGGATAGCGCTCAGTCCCACCTATCGCGTAAGTCCGGGGTATTACTGTATAATTAAATTGAAATGTATATAATTAAGTGATATATTACAGATGTTGAAAACTACTTATAAAAAGAATTAATAAAATTAAATCAGACTTTACTATCTATACCTTTTTATAGTGTAGCCCAAAATAAAAGTATGGGTAGCCTAGGTAACTTATCCAACAACAGCAACTGAGCACGGCAAGGTTGACCAAGCTTGAACAGAGTGAACTCCAGGAACTATAGTTGCATCAGCAAGGCCAAAAATCTTTGTTGAGTTGGAAAACAGGGTGGACGTCTCGACACCATGTGATCACGTGCACGTGAATGTAAAAAATAAAACCATCAAAGCAAGGAAGGAAAATCAGGAAAAGTAAAAACCAGAAAGAAATAACCAAAACCCCCAAAGCGTAACTAGCAATTCATCCAGCTGCCATCGAGAATTAAAAAAAGTTAGTGGATCCATTCCAGCATTGTCCAAAATCCAATATCTGGCCACATGGCACACAAAAAAAATCTCTACTATTTTGGTTCAGGCAAATCTTGTAAAAATTTATAAAATTATTCAAGAGCATTCAAAAATTAAACTGGTAATCCCCACAGGATTATTTATTTATTTTATTATTATTAGTGATGGATCATTTTTATTAAAATCAATTTAATTTAAAACATGTCTGTCGCATCTTAAAAAAATGTTTTAAACATTTAAATATATAAATAGTTAACCAAACCAAACTCTGGATAAATCTGAAGGCATATGCGCATGAGTATTCTAACTTACAAATGAATCATGTTACAAATGATTCAGTAGAGTAGTATTTTTTAAGTATTTAAATCGCGATTTGCATATTTTAGAGTATACAATATCTTTAATCTAACAAATAACCTAATTAGATATATTTTAGGAGAGTTTGTACGTTTCGTTAAAAAGAAAATTAGAAATGCCTTCGCTAGATAAAACTTTCTCAAAAAAATATTTTTTAATTTATAAATGTAACGGATAAATTCTTCACAAAGCACCTTTTTTGTCTATAGTGTGAGATTCTGTGGACAAATTAATTCATATCCCAGTTTTCTAGCGTTTTTTTTTATTAAATATCCGCAAACATAAGCAAATGCATTTTGTGTAATGATGTTTTCATTTCTATAGGTATAATCAAGCAGGGTAATTGCTCGACAAGAATAATTTATTTCACATTTTGTTTCATAAATACAGGTTGTCTTCTATAATTGTGTTATAAGAACACCTAAATCGTCCTCAGATATGTTGGGGATGCACAAAGCCTTGCCAAAATAGTTTTCTAAATGTTTAGGAAGTGAATGTTTTTCTTTTCCTTTAATTACACGTTGCTAGTTATTAGTGAATCTGAATTTATTAAAAGGCGATTGAATATATCTTGTGTGGATTTTTCTCTACTGCACTTTCTTGAATTGTGTTTTGCACTTTGTTGAATTGCAAAATTTTTTAAAATGCTTGTTACTTGCCGTTTATGCTTCCTCACTCAATAGTCCTATCAGAAGTAATGCAGATGATGTGATTTCTAGGCCATGTATAAGATATTTATGCTTGTTGGTGCCATGTTGATTTCTGCCCTATTCTTATTTTTTTGGGAAATTATATTACCGTATCCAGCCATTTACGATTGATTGCCTGAAATTGAGTATAAATTGTGCATGAAGCTACCCAACGAAACTGTAATCTGTTTTGAAGCGTATCAATAATTTTTATATATTCTTACAACCTTCTTTATGGCATTTCGACCACTTTTTAATTTCTGGACATAAGCACCTTTGTTCAAATCTGTTTTTTTATAATAATATCGGCTTTCCCAGACTAATCATCCATATCCATAAAATAGTTGGCTCACACTAATAAGACCTCATTTCGGCCCTAGGACGACCTTGGTCTATTCAGCTATCGACTTACGTGTTGACAAGTTGATTAGGCAGGTTATTGAACTCCATGTCGCCTCTAGCATGTCGTTCTTTCAAAGATGGGTCCCATATAAACGCGGCCAGAAGTATTTTCAATACTAAAATTGACATGTGGATTTAAAGAAAATCTTTAGAGCCGTTTTCGAGAAAATCGATTTTTTCAGTTTATTTCGTATAAAGTACACTTAATTTTAAAGTAAGCGTTAAAATGGACAAAACGTCTTTGGGTTTTCACCGACAACCTCCAAATACTGATATTGGTTGAAATCGATCGAATACGATGCGATGTTCATAAGTTGAGAAAATATGTGCGACCTTGCCGTACCGTTTATTTTTTAGTAAGCGATTAAACAAAACTAATAGAAATGACTCGTATAAAAAATAATAAAATTGAACCACTGAGTGTACAATTTACAATTAATTTCCTGGTACATAATCATAAATAAAACAAGTTTATAAAAAAAGTAGCAAATTATACAAAAATTTTTCACTTGATTCTTAGAGTAGAATATTTAGCCACTCTGAGTGTCTAAATACCTTAACCGGATCTAGCTGAATTCGTAACAAAAGTTTCAATGTTTCTTAGAATATAATATATGAAAATCTAAAGATTAATGCGATATAAGCTAACAACAAAGGAAAAAATGTCACGGATACTTTAGCGCTCAATTATTGTTTTTAAAATAGATTACTAAATACCTAAGCTTAAAAATTCCACAGGGTCGTTACCTGTTTGCACGAAAATTACACTATAACTGCGACACAAATAAGCAATCAATTTTGATCGATAACGCGCGTCTCGATACCCCGATCTAATACCATCGGTAGGGTAAAGGCGGGTAAGAGTACGCATCTAGTGAAAATTTATCAATAAAATTCATACCAAACAAAACAAAAACATAATTTTTATTTAATGGCAACTCATATATATCGGTAATATATAGAAACATAAAAAAAAATCAAAACTTCTACAAAATCCAAAAAAACAAAAAATACTAAACAACTGCATATGCGTACTCTTAGCCGCCTGTAAGGCAAAGAGTACGCAATGTTAACGGTACGAGTATTTAAATTTATTCAGATTCACTTTCGCAGTGATCTCAGTTAAATGTTCCTAATCCTGCATATGCTGTGCAGTCTTCGTGATACTATCTCTTGCAGATGTTGCATTGTATCCAGTCTGAATCGGGTGGATAGATTTCGTTGCATCTAGTGCAGTGAATTTTCTGAGGTGTCGGTTTTTGCTTAGTTTTTGTTTCGGTTAAGTTTCTTTTTACACTTTTTGCTTTGCTTGCGATCTGTTGTTCTAGTTCGATCTTGTAGGGCGACTCTGTCAGAATTTCCGATTTTTTTCCCTTTCTTTTTTCTCTGTTCTTTCTGCTTTAGGAGGAGGGTTTATAAGTGCTAGTGATACGATGACTTTTGTAGATGTCGATGTCGTTGCTAAGCCTTGTTGGGTAGTAGAGAGTTGAGGAATGCGACCAGGCTTGAAATGAAGGTTTCGAAACCGTTAAGCTGCGTTGAGAGGTTGAAAGTTGAGGATTGTGATCAACTTGAAGTGAAGGTTTCGAAATCTTTGTTAGGTCTCGTTGAGAAATTGAGGGTTGAGGAATGCGGTCAAATTGAATTGAAGATCTTATCAGTTTGTTGAGAGGCATGCCATCTCCGTCGCTGCATTTTTTAATGTTATCAGATGGTGAAAGCGGCGTATCGGTTACAGTTGCTGGTGCATAATCTTCGGGGGTAAATACTTCTGGGTCATAGGGCCAAATCCCGCATGATCGAAAAGCATTCGCGGCTTTTTCAATTCAAGCTACCCTCGAAAATGCTTTGCAAAATAATTCGCGTATTTGTTATTGTGTGATTGCTCGACCGGGATTAGAAACATGCCACTTTTCGCACTCTTGATCATAGGCAGTTTTAAGGGGTCCAAAAATCCTCTATCAAGCGGCTGCAATCGGTGGCTGTTATGTGGTGGTAAACTTAAAAGGTTGATTCCCAGAGTGCGACATTTATTAATGGCAGCTAATGAGATGTGACTAGCATGATTGTCCAAAATTAATAGAACTGGATCATCAGAGTTGTTAGAACCATCACAGGACACTCATATCTTACCAAATCATATATTATCAGAAATGAACCCCCTCCGAAATGCACCTTATGCAATAACTTAATGTCAATGAGACACATTCTTTTTAAATGCTTACCTGTTGCCTCCCATAGGTCTAGATTCTTTAATGCTGTTACCTATGAGAATATTTTCGCGCCTTTTAACATTTCGAAGATTAATAAAGTTATGGAATTCTTAGACAGCATCAACATAACGAAAAAACTTTAATTTCTAACTGAAAAAGCTCCGAGTTAATGAATCCCGAATCCGAAAACTGCAAAATAGAACCAACTGGTCGCCATTAATCAGTTCTTCCTTTCGTTTTTTTGTGCGGGAATATTAAGGAAGGAGGGACGTATTTTCCAGTAGCACTCGTAGCGCACACTGCCGTTATAAGTTGACCTCTTTCAGCTGCGACGATTTTACCCACAGTCTTTTTGCCAGTAGGTGCAATGACTTTTGGAGTTTTGTTTGGTACAGTGAGAATCGAAGTCTCGTCCATATTATTGTAGATGCGATGTGGTAGGATGTGTTTCTTTTCAATTAGGTTTTTGAGGTTATCAAAAAAACGATTCACTTGAACTCTGTTGAAACCAGCAGCTCTTGCAAGGTTGGTTTTCTCAGGCACACGAACACTTAAACTGCAACGCTTACAGAATGAAAATACCCAATCCTTTCCCGCTATTTTCTTAAGTTTGCTAAATCTGTGGCTAACACCGTTTCTTTCTGCGTGTTCAAAGACTAACTCACGCAAGGATTTAACCGTTAAGCTGCTGCCCAGTTCTTTGCAGTAATTAGCTAAGTCTGTTTCCATGTCAGGGTTGAAAACTGGTGTGAATCGTCCAAGAGATATAGGAATGGAATCGGCTTTCAACCGCTACCGAAGAGTTGCTTCATTTATTCCGATATACTTTGGCCTTGACTTTATAGATCTTTTACTTTCGCCTTTCGCTACTCTCTTTTTCGCAGAGTCCAACATTTCTGTATTAAACACCAACTTTCTATCGTTTTTTCGAATGTATTTTCCCATTGTGAACAATTCTATCTTCGTACCTGAAATAAAACGCGCTATTTAACCCTAAGAAAAAGATTTATAAAATTTTAAAAATTTATGATGGGAAAGAGTTCGCACCCGGCAAAGAGTACGCGTGCCAACTCTTTCCCTGCGTACTCTTAGCCGATGCGAATATATTAACCAAACTATGCGGCTGCTAAGTTTGGCAACAACTAATGGCTAATGTCGATATTGAACTAACCTCAAAGAAACATGTTAATCTTTAAATAAAATTTGAATCAATTGTTTGCCTTTCAGTATAACAGTTTTCTTATAATAAATGGTATCTCAATATAACATCAGAAGTTGAAAATTTAAATTTTCTTACCTTTTTATGGGAAAAACACCTCCGATTGCCAAGAACTTGTAAAAACCCGCGTAAACAACCTTAATCGGTATTCTTATATAGGCCACGTTGCCGGATGAAATTTAGTTATATTATAATAATATGATCTCCATCGGTGTGGTGTTGAATGGGCAGCACCTAATCCAGCATCACTTGCGTCAGTTTGTAAAGCGAACGGCTTGTCTGAAGTGACCTTCCAGATTGATGCTAAATTTAAATGTGTTTGTTCTATTCAGTCCAGCTTTTGCAAATATAGTTTTAATATAACTTCCACGTGTTATCATCTTCTGCCCCTATCCTACTTACAACTTTCGGAGTTTCATCTTCACCAAACAACAGTTTGTAGTACGGATGCTACTTTAACACTGCTTTTAAGTGTTCATGCGGATAATATTCTGCGTACTCACACAGAGGCACATCTTCTGTGCACTCGATATACTTCATCATAGCCTTCGGGAAATACCATGCTGAAATTGTCATCTTCCTGCACTTGATTTACCTGCAGCTAATGATACCTCCAGCAGCAGTAACAAGACAATCGAAATCCCAACCATTGTTTACTGACTTAATTTCACTTCTTATATGGCCCCTGTTTCTTCCTGCTGTACCTCCGTTCACTTCTATGTATACTTCTACGACTATTCACTTCTACGTATAGCTCCCGATTCTTCCATCCCTTCTCGGGCGCCAAATTTGTAGCGGTCTTTCTTAAGATGCGTTACTGACGCCTAGTTGTCTTTGAGTTCTGGGGCGTCACCTCTAATTATTTTGAGTGGTTAGAGGCCTACTATTGCCAGTATAGGTAGCTTTTAGTCAATGGAGAAATATGGCAGTGATACAGCTCTTGTTCTCAGAGGTGGGAAAAATAAATCAAATAATTATTTGATATATACTATAAAATAAACAAAGCTCGTGTTTTCCCAAATATGTACGCAAAAGCAAATTGGTTTTAAATTCAAAATAATGTTCTTCTTCGGCAGGCGGGGAGTACGGTGACGTGTAGAGGACCTTGCCACTGCTGGAACTCTGGTGGTTTCTCCGCTGGAGATGTGGACAGGAACTGACTTCCAATGGCTTGCGCGTCGCTTTTTATTTTTCCCTTCCCTCCCACAGGTTGAAAACCGTCGTGGTGGTGACGTGCACGCCTTGATGATCTAGTAGCATCGCTACCAAGCGGTCAACTTCGAGCGCGTGGAATGCGTTCAATCATTAATTACCGCTTTTAGCCCAATTAATCAGTTCGATCCGTACGCAACTAAAATATTTATTTAAAAAGTAATATTTTCTCGAAAAATAAATCAAATTTTTCAATTTAGGAAAAATTAAATAAAAAATTCCTAACTTTGTTCAATCTTTGTATCAGCGGAATAATAAAAAAAGAAAATTAAATAAAAAATTCACAGATTTTGCAACATGCGCAACCATCATAGGCGTATTGAAAATACCAGACACAAGTCAGCGGTTGTCGAAGGAAGAAAAAAGAATTTTTTTACACACCCCTTAATTTTAAATGAACTTATTCGATACTTTACGGTCACCCTTATAATGTTTACTACTGAACTGTGATATTTATTTCTTGGTTACAGAAACCATGCAATGTAAGGTCGTGGCGGTAAGCAGCAAAAATAAATTACATTAATAAAAACTAATGTAAAAAATAAAATTTGGTCATAACAAGTTTTTATTATTTTTCTAAAATAATAACCATAAAAAAATCTTGACACTTAGTGATGGTGGTTTCATTATGTTGTTTCTTGCATTGGACTTTATTAATTAAATATAAATCTGAAACACAATTTCTGATTTTAACGGTAGGTACCTATAATTTTTTAATATTAATTCTGAAAAATAAGAAAGTAAACGTAATAATAATTAATATCGGTTTAAAGGTCGAAACTACCAGTTTGATTAGATTATCGATGTATACTCTGTTTTTTTTTTCTCAGGTAAGACAGACGATGACAAGAAAAGCAGATGACATCCCATACCAATCTATTTATTTTACTAAAAAAAGTTTTCAATATTTTTTAAGTTAGCTATGGATGGGTTTAAATATAAATCCGTCATGCGTCGTCTCTTGTTGTTTTTAACCAGTTTTATTGGTTTATTTCAAAAATGACAGATAATATTTCAATTTTACTGGTTTGACGGAACGATGAACGACAAATGGACGCCCGATTAGGATTCTAAGCCCCTCAATTTTAATATCTTTGACATGTGTGCCTGTCCAGAGGCCTGTCATAAAATATTTTTGAAATGCTGCGAATAAGAAACTTCTTATTTCTTATGAAAATCATTTTTATTATCTTGGCTCTCCGAGACGTTTTCCATATCCGTATATACGCCAGTGGTAAGTCACGGTAATATTTATTAACCATATTCATATTAGGTATTATTACTTACCTTCCTGATTTATATTTCCTGTTGTCTCTGATGGTCCTTCAAAATCTTCCAAGGTCGAAGAAGAAGTACCGATTGTAGTTACTGATAAAACTTTAGCAATTTTCTTTGATTTCTATAGGCTCGACAACGTTCGACGTTTAATTTAAGTTTTCTAGCTTTTTTTCATCTTCTGTAGTATTTAAGATTTTTTTTAACGAAGATTGAGTTATTGAACGATGAACCGTTTCGCGAACCATTTAAACTAAATAAGTTAGGTAACTGCATTTTTTAAAAGGTACCACAGACCACTTGATTCGAGTCATCACGTGAACTACTGGATTTTATATTTATATATTATATTTGCATTTTATATCCGATTCAACTTATGACTTCCGATCTGATTACTCCTACACTGATATAATCTGTATTACGACTTATGCTAGGTTAATTAAGGAAATTTGCGACCAATTTTGAATTAAGTTATACTGCAAAGACTAGCATAGCCTATGATTTGTCGTTGTCAATTATAATTTAAAAGTAAAAATATGTAAAAATATTATTTTTATAAAGCCACAAAGGAGAATAACAAATTGATAATGATTAAATAGACCATCCAAGAGATAATGAAATTAAAAAAAAAAATTAAGTTTTAACTGTCATAATTTACTAAGAAAAAGCAGTTCTAGCATAATTCAATAGGTTCAAAATTTACTCGACCATTAGTCTTTACCTTTTCGATAAGTTATGAGATCGTTGGGATACGAGAGGTGCTTAGACATTTTCATTTTCAAAAACGTCTTGTATTTCGAAAATGAATTTTACTTCGAAGTGCAAGTAAATTAGTGGATATACCTAAATACGCCAAATAGGTATCTTTTTTTCAAGTAATTATGTTTATAGAATAGGCGAGTATTGTTTTAACAAATACTTATACGTATATTACGTCAAAGTACAGAGGCAACATTATTTTTGATGTCGACTGTAAAATAATGTGAAAATTAAGGGAGATATAAAAACTGATATACTAATACATAAAACATGATAGAAAGTTTAGCAAATATTATATTACAATCAAAAATAACATACATGCATACATATAAATTTAAAATGTGGTAAAATACAAATATGAGGTATGGGTGCAAAATATGACATGTGCATTGGTGGCTTACACACTGGATAAAATCAAAAAAATTGCTAATCAATTAAAAAATGCAATAAGGAAGTTAGCGTCTTTTTAACTTATATTAATAACAACTAAAGTATACTAAAATCAATAAATTTTACAACTAGACAATTCCATAATTTCGGAGAAAAAAGAATATTATCATATGTATCGATTTAAAGTCTAAAGCACTTCGCTATTAAACTCTTAAGAAACTCAAGAAATCAAATTTAATTAACTAACCCAATCCCGTAAGGACGCAACTGAAATAAAAATTACAGAACTGTTTTTATATGAAAAAATACATCTTGATACATTGAAGACGTGTACTAAATTTTATAAAGATATTTAAAATAGTATCAGTGTTATTATAAAAAAAAACTGATTTTCCTGAAGAAACTTTACCGCCCTGTATAACAATGGGAGGCAACATTACTTTTGATACTGTTAAATAATATGATAATTAAGAAATATATAAAAAAATTGTGTACAAATACATTAAACAGAGAATACAAAATTATATACATACATATAAAATTAAGCGTAAGTACCATAATAAGGATAATACCTTATTGTTTACGAATACAGTGTGAGCTTACAAGACTCACAGTTACGAACAAAATAAAATGAAATATTCATGAACCCTTAGCTTCACGGCTTATACAATCGAATAAATCACATAATATTTCTCTCACCTACATACTTGACTTAAAACTCAAAAAGTACTCACCAATATCTTAAACCTAACAGATTTTAATCAATTTTCAACACTTTTAACACTTCGAAGCGTATTTAACATTATGGATCATTTTATTTACGACCTCTACCTCATTTCGGCCTTCGAACGACCTTGCACTATTCCATATTCCT